AAATTAGTTATTAGACCTTTATTTTTCCATATGAACTTTAGAACCCTTGAGTTCTGTATTAGTCCACTAGGGCTGCCATAACAAAGTCCCCACACCAGGGGCTTAAACAACAGACATTCATTTTCTCACAGTCCTGGAGGCTGGAAACCGGAGACAAGGTGTCACAGGGTTGGCTCGTCCTGAGGCCTCTCTCCTTGGTGTGTAGACACCATCTTCTCCCTGTGTCTTCACGTGGTCGTCCCTCTGTGAGTGTGTATGTCCTAATCTCCTCTTCTTATAAGGACACCAGTCAGATTGGATTGGGGCTCACTCCAATATCTTCATTTTGGGGTGAAGATATTACCTCTTAATTACCTCTTTACACTATCTCCAAATACAGTCACATTCTGAGGTCTTGGGGATCAGGACTCCGACATATGAATGGAGGGGAGAGATACAATTCACAGTTCAGCCTATGACAGGTTCTTTTAAAAATTATGCTGAGATTTTTATTGGAATTTCATTGAATTTATGGAATAATTTGTGGAGAATTTTCACACAAAATAGTGTGAATTTCACACAAAATATTAAGTTGTGCTATCCTTGTTTATGCCTCCATTTATACAGATCTTTTATGTTCTTTAATAATTTTTTTTTCACCATAGAGATCTTTTGCATTGTGGAAGGTTTTTTAGAGTGTTGATTGCTACTGTGAATGGCATTTTATTTTATATTTTCTAGCTATTTCTTGTTCTGGTAGAGAAATTTGATTTTATCAAGTCCAAGATACACATGTGGCTGAAAGTCGGAGCATCCAGGTGGCAGTCGCTGAGACGAACAGGGACAGGAGGTCAGGCAGTGGCAGTGCAGGGGCAGTGGAGCAGCCTGGCTGTGCGTCCGGCCTAGGTCTGCCCTTCTTCCCCCTACTCAGCCTGCGTGTTCAGCACCTGCAGTCTGCGGATGGCAGCAGCAACTCCCGGCTCCAAGTCCACAACCCAGGAAACGATCATGCAAGTTCTGCACAGCCCCCTTTTTGGGGGGCAAAAGCTCCCCCAGGCCCCGTCCCCAGTTCCCCAGCTGCAGGTTGTGCTCAGCGTCTGTGGGTTGGGAGTAAGTGTCAGTGCCGCCAGTGTGCAGAGTCAGCCGCTTCCTCAATGCATCGTTTTCTTCTTCTTAGCCATTCTGCCAATACCTTGATACAGAAGAGGTGAGGGTGGGCCATCTGTTCTTGTTCATATTTTTGAAGGGAGTACATTTAAAGGCTCTCCACTAAGTATAATATCTGCTGAGGTTTTTGAACTATGGCCTTTATCAAGGAAGAAATTCACTTCTACGACGAGTCTCCTTGGCATTTTTCCTCCACAAATGAGTGTTGATTGAAATCAAATGCTCTGATGATGGCGATCACATCACAATCTACAAATGTATCAAATCAACATGTACACTTGAAATCTGCACAATGTTATATGTCAATATAGTTCAATTTAAAAAACTTAAAAATAAAGTAATAAGGAAATCAAATGCCTTGTCTTCCTCTCTGGAGAAGATCACAAGTATTTTCTCCTTGTGCACTAGCGAGTGAAGCACATCGACGTGTTTCGTGGCAGGAATCCCCTGCGCTGAGCTGGCCTCACGTGACGCTCTCTGATGTGCCGTTGGGTTCACTGTGCTCATGTTTCATGTAGAATTTCATGTTGATATTCAAACATGAAATAGTCTAAATTATGTCTTGTACTCCCTCATGAATCTTAGGACATGAGGTTTAGGGTTTCACAAAGTCGGCGGGGGCCTCGTCCTATTTGGTGTCACTGGTTCTCCTTCGTCTCTGCTCTCAGAGCCCAGAAGCTGATCCTCTAGTGAAACCGGCAAACAGGCACTGATGATTCAGTAGCTGGGAACTAAAATTTTTTTTCTTTTTCCTTTTTGCAATTACTGATTGTAGCTTGTAGTTGTTCCCCCGCCCAGTGTTAACTGTGCTGTTTAGGCAACATGCTATCGGACTCCACTAGGTCCCTACAGATCATGTCTCCTTGAAGCCAGGGTCACCATGGTAATGAGTGTTTCAGCTGTTTTTCAGGAATTAGGACCCCCTTGTCCACTTCAGGCAGGTTGAGACAAGCCTGCACAACGGGCCAGCGCAGATGTCTGATAGGCGACCTTTAGACAACAAGAGGCTAAAAACTCCACCCTCAGGTCATGCCAATGCCGCCATTTTGTGAACATGCATCCTATGAAGAGGAGTGAAGTCTGACTACGCTTGCTCACCTCTCCTCACCTCCAATCATCTATCTGCACACTTCAGACCATCTTGCACCCTCCCCATAAACATCCCTGAGCCCTATTTTCAGGGAGGCGGATTTGAGACTCATTCTCCCACTTTCTCGCTTGGCTGCCTTGTGATTAAACCCTCTCTCTCTGCAATCTCGTCGTCTCGGTGTTTGCCTTTCCAGGCGACAGGCAAAAATGAACCTGGTTCGGTAACACTAGGTCGAGGCCCTTTTCTCTCAGCCATCTCTTGGCTGTTCATCCAGAGTTTTCCTTAACTTGATAATTCAATTATTCTGTTGGTTTTTTTGCCATCTTGTTTTTTCAAAAGTTCTTTCTTAGTCTCTATCTATTCATTTTTCACAGCATCCTGCTCTTATATAAATATATTATCTCCCCCAGTCTTTCTGCGTCTATAAATTGGAGTATTTTCTTAATGTTTGCATTTTAGGTTTTCCTCTGATTCCTCAGACCTCCTGACCTGTTTTTCTTTTTCTCTGTGTCTTCACCTTGTTCTTTATCTGCCATGATGCAGCTCTTCCCGAACGTCTGATAAACACCCCTTGTCGTTCGTACTTTAAAACACAGCAGCAGGAATGCTGCCTGGGAGTTCGGGGTGGGGGGGGGCCTTTACAACAAAGGGCAGGGAACTAGCCGTCGGCTGGGAGCCTTCTAATTGCAGGTGACCGAGAGCACGTATCTAAACAAGGTCCACAGCGCTGGCTCTGGCACTGCCTGACCCAGGAAACCCAGCTGGGCCAGGACCCACCTCTCTTCCCCTCGGTCCTGCCCCCCGTGGCGGCTTCTCTCAGGTTCTGTGGGACAGCTCCACATGTGAGGCAGCTCCACACTCAGCCTCACGCCTCCAGAGTCACCAGAGGAGAGGGGCGTCTCCCAGCAGCTCAGACTGCAGTCTTCAGCCTGCACTGGGAGGAACCACATGGCATGTCACGTCCCCTCACAGGGCCAGGGGCGGGGGCAGTCACAGCCAGACCCCATGGGCCAAAAATAAGAGGAGGCTGGCTCCCCGGGGGACACATACAGACTCCTGGACCAGAACAAAGGGAAATGGACGCTGAGGGGCAGAAGCAGCAGCTGTCCACTGCAGGCCCCAACACCGACGCCAAGGCACCCAGCTCGTTCTGATTTCTTCAGAGAAACCTCTTTGTTTCCTTGGGATGAGCAACTTGCTGGAGGCTGCTCTGTGCATGGGACCAGGGAGGGGCTCAACCAGAGAATGCAAACCTTGGGTGACCCCCATTTCTGCCCTCACTTCTCCGGGCCAGCCATCATCACATTCCCAAGTCCCGAGGCCAGGCACTCTCTCCTTAGCCGCTGCCCTCTGTTCCAGGTGGACTCCTCCTGCGCCCAATGAGCCAGCACCCTCCTCTGAATTTCCTGAGGGCCCCTCCCCTTCTCCTTGCAAACTTAATTACTGTGATTTTCATCAGGCCTCAGAAGGGAGGGGAGCTGGGTGGACCTAGAGCCAACAGACCCGTCTCACTTTCAAATACCAGTTTTTTCCAGTTCTTTCTTGCCAGGGGTTCAAAAAACACTGTTGTCGTGTCTCAACCAGAGAGGCTAAGATACAAGGACCTCCCTCACCGATCCTTAACAGTAGTTATACTTTAAAAGAATAAGCTTGGTTTCTATTCCCAGAATGCTTCCTTCTGAATTATCCAGAAAGTTAGAAGACAGAAACATGTTTATTCATCAAATGTTTGCTGGGCCTCCCATGTGGTTGCCTAAGTTCAGGGAAAACAAGGAGTCACCACGCGGGCCCTGAACTCACGGCCAAGTGCCCGCAGCCAAGAAGTCACAGGGAGGCGCCAGCCGACTCTGGGGTGCAGCAGACCAGGGGTCTGGCTGGGAGAGGCCGCCAGCCCAGGAGGCATTTGAAACGGAGAGGGCGTGAGGTCGCCCAGGAGCACGTGAGGAGTGGTGGTTCTAGGGGATGGTGAGGATCTGACCGAAGCTGAGAGAGAGCATATCACATGAAACAATCTTGTGCCGTCAGGGAGGGCCGGGTGTCCACTCCTAAAACCATCAAGAAGGCCTGGTGTCCCCACGTGCAGTGGCTGGGATGAAGGCCTAGTGTCCATGGGGGCGCGGGGGGGAGGTCCCAGAGGCGAGACAAACATTTCAAGAAGGGATCCCAGAGTCCACTCCGGCAGCAACTGGGTTGGCTTGGGCAGTGGGGTTACAGGTGACCTTGCCATGGAGTGGCCCCCTGGAGGGATGTGAACAGCCGGCACTGCAGGGCAGGAGGAGTGGGGCCCAGAGCCCCTTTCCCAGCTCTGGGAAGGGGGCCTGCTGCCCCAGGACTCCGGCCTGTGGGGATCTGGACAGCCGTCCTGTCCTCTCTGGGCCTCTGAATGCAGAGCGCTGGACACCACGATCTGGAGCTCAGGGTCTGACACGGCATTCCGTGGTCCCTGCGTCTGGGACACAGCCACCTGGGGCAGGGATGAAGATGACGGATGGGGGAGGGTGGGGTGGGAGAGGTTAGGGTTTGGGGTGGGCGGGAATGCGATGGAGTGTGGGAAGGTGGGGAGGAGCGGGGGAGGGGGTTGAGGACGGATTCTGTGGGGCGCGGTGTGCAGCGGGATGGGAAGGGGTTAGTTGTGCACTCGGTAAGGGAGACGGAGTGGGGCGGGCGTGTGTGCAAGCAGGAGATAGGATGGGGACTGGGGAAGGAGGGGGAGGCGTGGGGAGAGGAAGAAGGGGTGCAGCGAGGATGGGGGTGCTGAGAAGGGAGAGGGGCTGCGCGCTGCGCAGGGCCTGCCTTTATCTCCTCCCCTCCATCTCGCAGGGAATGAGCCTCCGCGTCTGCCCGCCCCCAATCCTAGGGCGGAGGCCTCGCGCAACATCCAGGTTCCGCGGCGGTGGAGGGTCTCCGCCACAGCCCGCCCTTCCCGCACCTCCCGGCCTCTGGAGCGGCCACTCCAGCCCGCGGTTCCGCCCGAGGCTCTTGGAGGGTAAGGCCGGGAGGCTGGGGATGAAGGGGTCGCAAGGAGACCAGCGGGCCCGGGAGGAGGGTAGACTCGCCGCCCAGATCGCTGCGCCCGGAACCAGCCCCGTCCCCGGCGTTCGGGGAAGGGGTGGAATGGAGGGCGGGGTGGGGCGGGAGGGGACCGGCCCCTGGGTCGCGGCCTGCGGGGGCGGGGTCCGTCCGCACAGTATCCCCAGCCCGTGAGGCCCGGACCCCCGGCTCTGGCCCTGCGCCCAGTGCGCGCCGCTCCGAGGGGTCCGGGAGAGCCGGGCCGAGGCACAGGTCCTTTTTCCAGACCCCAATCTGGGTCTTTGGGGGGGGCTTCGGTCCCTAAGACTGCGTCCTTCAAACACAACCCCCATCCCAGCATGGCCTCCCCCGAGCCCTGGGTTGGTCCTTCCGGAGCAGCCCAGGATATGGAGCCCCCTCCCGCAGGCCCGAGCGTCCCTCACCACAGGGTCTCACCACCACCACCCCCCACCCTCGCCGCTCATGCCCCCTCTCCATCCCCAGGCACAGAATAACCCGCAGATGCTGAACCCTCTGACCCCCACCCACCCCTTCCCAGTTACTGAACGAGACCCCCACCCGGCTCCAGGCCTGAGTCCTTAATCCTCAAGCGTTCAAACTCCCTCCTCTCAGCCCACCTCAGCCCTGAGTAGTAGTCCTCCAAGATGCTGGAGGCCCCAGGAACCGCCAGATGCTGAGCTTCTGTCCCAGTCTCTGAGCCCCTGTCCCCAGCCCCTGGGCCCCTGTCCCCAGGGCCAGAGCCGCTGACCCCAGGCCCTGGGCCCCCCGGTCCTCACAGAAGCTGAGGTCCCTTCCTCTGCCTTCCCGCAGGTCCTGCCCCACAAAGATGAACTGGACGGCGGCGACGTGCTGGGCTCTGCTCCTGGCGGCCGCCTTCCTCTGCGACAGCGGCGCGGCCAAGGGCGGCCGCGGGGGGGCTCGCGGCAGCGCCCGGGGAGGGCTACGCGGGGGCGCGCGCGGGACCTCGAGGGTGCGCGTGAGGCCCGCGCCCCGGTACGCGGGCTCCTCCCTGCGTGTGGCGGCGGCGGGCGCAGCGGCCGGGGTGGCGGGGGCGGCGGGCCTGGCCGCGGGCTTGGGCTGGAAGGGGGCCGCAGGCCTGGGGGCGCGCGGCCTGGACGACGACGACGACGAGGACGGGACCCCCGGCGGCAACGTGACGGGCCGAGGCGTCTACAGCTACCGCGCGTGGACTTCGGGCGCGGGGCCCACGCAGGGCCCGCGCCTCAGCCTGCTGCTGGGCGGCGCCCTGGGCGCACTGGGGCTGCTGCGGCCCTAGGCCCTAGGCCTCGGGGTCACTTCGGCCCCCAGCCACACCGAAGGCCCCCGAAGCCCACCCCAGAGGCCGCCCCGCGCGCGCCTTCCCTTGGCTGCCCAGTCTCCGAGCCCAGAGGGGCTGCCTGGACAATTCCGGCCAGTCGCGCAGGAGCTGCTGCCTCTCCTACCTGTGGCTGGGAGGCGGCCTCCTGTTCACCCCCTGCCCGAGCCCCTCCCCAGCCTCCCCATCTCCCACCCTACCAAGCACCCGCTGCCCGATGCCCCACGTTCCACTTGGAGGTTAGGGTCCAGGGTCCTCCCCACCAAAAGGCAGGTGTCCAGTCGTTTCTGGACCATCCTGGCCAGCTGTCCATCATCTGCAGAGCCGCCCAAAAGAGAGGTGCCCAGACCAGGCTGTTCAGGCCCTCCGGCTCCCCTGACCTCACCTTGGGCACCTGAGAGGTGTGACAGTGCTGACCACCAGGTGGAGAGGCGGGCTGTCAGGCTGTGCTGGTTCTGCCACCGGCCCTGAGGACCATGGTGGCCTGCCCCACAGAAGCTGCCAGAATGGAACAAAGGACTTGAGGAACCCCGGGGGAAGGAGAGAGGAGAGGTTTCGCTCATGGGCTGTAGCGTGCTGACCTCACGTCCAGAAGAGGCGGTCTATGGATTTCAGAGCCCAGGCATGCCCATCATAGTTCTCTGGATGGTTCCCAGAACACTCCTTTCCCACGAGGGCTGCCCCCAGCCTTGCCCCTGCCCTTGGGCCCAAAGACCCCATCCCCCTCTCTGGGCAGAGGCCCTGGGAGACACACTGCTAGGGGCTCCCTTGGAGCCACTTTGCTCCGACTTGAAACAAGTCACTTAACCCTTCTTGGGACCCGTTTTGAGAAAAAAAATTGTTTCAACTTCAAGCTTTCCGTTTCCTTTGAGCTTTAGGTTCACATCTGGGGTCAGAGCCCTACCCTGTACACAGGGATGGCAACCACCACCCCACTTAAGAGCCCTCCGGGCACAGGCAGGGGTGGTTCTGGCAGGTTTTCCACAGGCAGCAGCATCTCCCAGCGGGCAGCCCCCCTCAGAAGGTGGTGTGAACGAAGGAAGCCGGGGGCTCAAGTCAGACCCCCCAGCCAACATGGCCACGCAGCAGGTCCCTGGAGTAAGGCCAGCAGTAGCCAGGCCCAGCACCCAGCTCATACAGCCAGACGTGACAGCAGCTGGGCTCAACGGAAGAATGCGTGGAGGCCGAGTCCCTCCACCACCACCGTGGGCTGTCTGAACAGCCAAGGATGTCTGAGGACAGGCCAATACCCAGGGGAGCCTCCAAGGGAACGCCAGGCAAGTCCTTACAAGGGTTTCCCTCTGGCTCCCAACACCCGTGCCTAAGGCCGGCCCTCTACCTTGGGGGCAGCCAACAGCCCATTTCCCTCCAGCCACCAGCCTGGTTCTCTGTCCATGAGCTCAGCCCTGGGGCCTCAGCTCTTCACCACGTCCTCTGGCTCTGATGCCCCTTATTCCACAGCAGGTCGACTTCCCAGGCCAGCTCCTCAGGATCTCGCCCTCCTTCGGTGCTCCGCAGGGGCCTCACCCACCACTGGGCTGCATCTCAGAACCTGCCCTCACCCCTGGGACCTCGGGGCCTTTGGATTCAGCTGATGAGCATCAGAGCCGAGCCCAGCCCCTCCCAGGGAGCCCTGCCACCTCTGCTCTCCCACAGCTGGCACGTGGCTCTGGTCAGGGTGAGAGTCTTCAAGCCGTCAGCGGGACCCTGGACGGACTATTCTTCTCCAGAGGGACACTAAGCTGCAAGACGCCTCCGCATCCACACTGCCAGCATTCTCATGGTGCAGCAAGCCCAGATGCTCCTCCGTCCATTCCAGACCAAGCTTGATGCTACCAAAGACCAGCAGGCCGTGGCCAGGCCCTGCACAGGGCCCCAGAGGCAGCGTGCCAGTTCTGCCACTTAACCCGCAGGCGGCAGGAGTGTGAAGTCTCGCACAGGGAGACGCATCCAGGTGGCTCCTTGGGCAAGCTCAGTTCTCCAGGGAGCCCGGGAGCATGGGCCCAGCCTGGCTGCACTCAGCCCCTCTGCCCCCCGGACAACAGCTGTGGCCAGACCAGACCCTCACACACTGCTCAGCACCACAGGGGCTGCGAGCACGCTCTACACGACAGAAACATCACGCTCTTAAGTCGAAAGCTGACCACGCACCAGCCTGACTCCAGGAGGGTGTCTGGCATTTGGCACAGCCACGGGTCTCTGAATACTTCCCATCCTACTGGTCAGGGCTCTGGCCCGCAGAACGGTTACTCTCAGGAGAGGCTGCTAAGTGTACACGGGTGTGAGGAAGCCACACGAATAGCAAGACCTCAAGGGGCCACGGGAAGGGAGTGTCCTGGCGGAGACCACTGGACACAGGTGAGCCTGACCAGGTGCAGCCCCCACACACACCACCTTCCCTTTCTCTGCCCTCCCCGGCACACAGGCTGGACCCCGTCAGGTGCACAGATTACACCAGTGCTGGAGGTGCCTCTGGGACGGTCCCGTCAGCTGAAGGTGCTCTGAGGCCGTGGGAAGCCCTGGGGTCTTCACTGACCACACCAGCGACCCTCCAGCCTGTCCACAGCTGGACCGTGAGCAGATGGCCCCAGGGCACTGAGGAAACAGGTGGTCCCTGGGTGCTGCACGGCTACGTGGCACCTCTCGTCCCTGTTTGTGTGCACATTTAGTAGTGTTGTGAATAAACATCCACTGACAGCAAGACTCCTCCTTCTTGCAGGACCCGGGACAGTGTGTGGGGAGTCGGACACAAGAGCTGTAGCTACCAACCGGTTCACGTCCCGTTTCTCCTTGGTGAGAGAGGGCTTACCACACAGCCCAGGGTGCTCCTGGTGCACAACGAATGGGCCAACACCACAGACAGGCCTTTTAATTTAAACGTTAAAATTACAGATCATAGCTTCACCTCCTCCTGAGACGACGTCAGCTCTCTTTAAGGGACACTGAGCGTGAGACAGCCTCCCCGCCAGGCCAGGCATGCAGGGCCACTCGGGGACATCGGCCGTCCTGATGTCCACACCCGGGCACAGTCCCCCGTGACCAGGAGCTAGCCAGGCCGTGGAGCAGCGGGAGGGGCTCCGTCCTGGAGTGGAGAGCTGAGTGTACAGTGACCAGCGTGGGGCTTCCGGAAGGGACTCCTGAGCGTCGCACCCCCGGCCGTGAAAATCGGGACATGACATCTCTGGTGCCGAGGGCCAGGTGGGAGTGACCAGTTCAGGGGTCCATCTCGGCAGGGTGGTGGCCCTGAGCCCCTGCCTCGGGGAGGCTCTGCAGGACGTCCCGGTCCAGCATCACGGGGCCCAGCCGCCCACTGCGGAAGGTGTGGAGGAAGTCTCGGGCTGCTGCAGCGTAGTTGGGCTGAACGATATTCACATCACCTGGGGAGACGGGAGGGGCCCGTGAGGGAGGAGCTTCTACCCAAGGCAGGCACAAGACTCGAACGCACCTCTGCCCGCCACCCCTTGGGGACCCTAAGGTGTCTGTGGAGCTCGGGCACTGGGCATTTTGGTCAGAGGACACAGAGCTGGGGGCGCCTGGAGCAGCAGAGGCTTCAGAGGGCGGGGTGCACACAGGAGCACCCAGCACCGCCCCGGCCTGCATGCAGAGCCCCTTCCTCTCAGAATCTTTGTTCCCAGCAGCCACGTGTCCCCACTGTGTCCTCCCCCGACAGCCGGCCTCATCTCACCTGTGCCAGTCAGCACCTTCACCTTCTGTGTCTTCCCTAGCTTCACAGCCACGTGCTTCAGCACGCTGACGACATCGTCACAGGCCCTGCCCAGGCCGTAGTGCTGCACGTACCTGCACAAAGACTGCCGGTCGGTCAGCCGGAACCAGGGCCGGCCCCTGCGAGATCATGCCTGGCTCCACAAATGACCCCGTGTGGGTGTGGGTGTGAGTGACCACAGCTTGGGCATGGGGCGTGAGGCCCCACTGCAGAGTCACCGACATCTGTCCTCCCCCGTGGCCAAGGCCAGCTGCCCTGAGGGTGGCTCCCCCACCAGAGCTCTGGGCTGCAACGGGTGAACCATTGCTGTTCACAGGCGGCGTCCACCCTGTCCCTGAGCAGGCCCGGGGCCTGGGGCCCAAGGTCCACACAGCAGGCCACCAGCAGACACCCTCAGTTTGCTGCTGCGGGTGCACTGGTGCCTCCAGGCAGCCATGCAGGTCAGGACAGCCAGAATCACCTGCACTCTGTCCAATGGCTGGAGAACGGACAGGTCTCTCTGACCGGCATTTTCTGTAGCCCACGGCAGCACGGATTAACTCAGCCCCCACCGCTGCTGAGAACTGCCCGGTGACTCTCAAGGACACCTGTCCCCACAAGACACGGGGTCTAGGCCTGATGGGAAGGGCCAGCACAGGGCCAGCAGCATGGGCCTGGGCACGGCTGAGGCTGAGCGGCTGAAGGAGACAAATGTCATCCACAGACCAGCCCCTCCCTAAATCTCAGGAGCCAGGAGACACCTAGAGCAACACTCCCGCCAGGTGATGCAGCAAGTCAGTTAGTCTCCACTCTGAGCCTCCTGATGGGCAGACAGAGTGGTGGGATCTGCCTCGAGGCCCCACACAGAGGGCGGGCCCAGCCCCCTGGAGGCCAGGGTGCTCAGACTGGCCTCAGGCTACACACCCGGCAAACAGAGACACAGGCCCAGGCCCCGTGTGAGCATCAGAGCCCCGTCTCAGGGACATCTGAGTCCTGAGGGACGCAGGTCCTACATCAAACTTCCGAGAGCAGCAGCCCTGCAGGTCCGCGTCCCCGCATCCCAAGGACTGTCCCAGGAGGCCACAGGCCCTGAGGACTCCGCTAGCACACACCCGAGAGCTGCACCTGGTGGCGCTCGGCTGCTGCGTCCTCCAGAAACACCACAGAACCTGAGGGGCAAACTGAGCCCCACGAAAACAAAGCCAAAAAACGACATCCGAAATTCCACTTCCACGCAAAACACAGCAACAGGGACTGGATCTACCCCATCTGAAACAGCCAAAAAGGAAGAAACAACCAAAAACACAAAACAACCATTTTCAAGGCACCAGACATCGGGCACGAAGAACATGAATGAGGGGCCTGGGGAGGCCCAGTCAGCGCCTGGAGAGCTCCAGGCCGCGGCGCAGGGAGGGAGCCCGCAAAGCCCGGACAACGCGGACGGGGGAAGCGGCTGGAGGAGCGGCGCTGGGAGACCAGGGCGGCTAAAGGTCACACGAGAGAACCAGAGAAGGCAGAGCTGTCCAGAGAGAGAATTCCGGAAATCTGCAGAGAGCCACCCTCAGATACCCAGCAGAGGAGGGACCATGATAAAGGAAACCAAGGCCAGAGCCCAAGAGAACCGCCCAGCAGGGCAGGGGGAGCAGCCGGCGCTGCTCGGAGTCAGGAACAGAGGGAACCTCATGACCCACGGGGCACTGGGGAGGGGCTGGGGGCCCTGCCTCAGTCAGGGGAACTGCTCCAGACCCACAGGCCTGGAAGGACCAAACCGTTTCCAAACAGCTGTCCCAGAACAAAGGTCAAGGATCTTTACAGGAATATGAAGTTACCCATCACCCAAAAAGGTAAAATTCAAAATGCCTAGCATCCAAGCAAAAATTATCAGGCCTGCACAGCAGAAAAACAGACTAGACTTGTCCTGAGGAGAAAATCAATCAGTGGAAACTGCCCCAGATGTTATAATTACAAGACAAAGACATTAAACCACTCCATGTGGTTACAAAGTTAAGACACAAAAGATATTAAAAAAAGACTCAAACAGAGCTTCCAGAGGGGAACACTACGAAACACACACTGGCAGGGACTAATAGTACACCAGACACTGCAGAAGAGGAGAGGGCCTGAAGGCCAGCATCGCTGAGCAGGGGCAGCGTCCACAGCCGACACGTGGGTGATCTAAGTCCTGAGGAGAGGAGATGGAGGAGACAGAAAAACACAAGAAGAGGTAATAGATGAAAATTATCCAAATTTGATAAAAACTACAAAGCCACAGATCCAAGAACTCAACAAACTATAAGCACAAGAAACATGAAGGAAACCACACCAGGGCCCATCGTCATAAACTGCTGAAAAGTGGGATCAAGAGAAAATCTTAAAAGCAGCTGGAGGAACATTATATACAGAAGAATAAAGACAAACACGACAGCACACAGCTCATCAGAAACAACCCAGGTGAGAAAAGCGGGGAACATCTTTCCAACACTGAACAAAACCGTGAATCCAGGAGTGCACACATGGCAGATACCTTCCAAAAACGAAGGTGAGATCAAGACACCTTCAGACAAACTAATTCCAAAAAATTCGTCATCAGCATTACAATAAATGTTAAAGTAAATGCTCATACAGAGGAAAATATCACCAGACGGAAACCTGGACCTACACAAAAAAAGCAGTAAGAGCGTATCTCGGGTTTATAAAAACATAAAAGTAAGATACAGAACAGCAACAGCCCAAGGGTCAGGTTGAGAAAAATGGAAACACAGTACCATAAGGCACTAAGCTACATGCAACGTGTTATAAAATCCCTTAAAGATCTTCTATAAACCCTAAAGAAACCTCCTCCAAAAGTCATAGATAATAAGCTAACAAAGGGGATAAAGTGGAATCATAAAAAGTATCCAGTTAATCTAAAGAAAAGGCCAAAGAGAGAGAGACAGAGACACAGAGAGGAAGGGAAGAACAAAGAACAGATGGGACAAACAGCAGGATGACAAACGTAACACTAACATGCGGTAATCACATTAAATGTAAACAGTCTAAATACCTAAAAGACAGAAACCGTCAGATTGGATAAGAAACAAGACTCAACTATATGCAGTCTATAAGAAAACACATTTTAAATATAAAGACACAAAATAAAAGAACAGAAGTAAAAAGTAAAGAAAAAGAGAAAAAGATATACCATGTTAAGTCCAAGCACAAAAAAGCTGGGGTGGCTATAAAAATACCAGACAAGGCATACGTCAGAGCAAATCATTCTGAAGGATAAAGGCCATTTCAAGCAATAAGGGCATCAAGGGGACATAATCTCCGGAGTGTTTCCACAGCCAACAATAAAGCTTCAGTACATGAAGCAAAAACTGACAGAACTGCAAGGAAAAACACAAGCCACAGTTAGAGCTGGAGACTTCAATACCCTTCCCTCAATAATTGATGGTAAAAGTAGAAAGAAAGCCAGCAAGGTAGAAATACGGAAATAACAAAGACCGAACAGTAATCAATGAAATACGAAACAGAAAGACAACAGAGAAGGTCAATGAAAAGCTATGACGAAATGACCAAAAGCCGGTTCTTAGGGGAAAATCAATCAAGTTGATAAACCAGACTGATGTCCTCAGTGCAATCAAGGACATCTATCAGGGCCGGCCCCTTAACTTAGCGGTTAAGTGTGTGCGCTCCGCTGCTGGCGGCCCCGGTTCGGACCCCTGTGCACACTGACGCACCGCTTCTCTGGCCATGCTGAGGCCGCGTCCCACATACAGCAACTAGAAGGATGTGCAGCTATGACACACAACTACCTACTGGGGCTTTGGGGGAAATAAATAAATAAATAAATAAAATTATTTAAAAAATAAAAAAAGGACATCTATGAAACACCCACAGCTCACGTCACACTCATTGGTAAGAACAAACAAACCGCATGTGTGTACAGGAAGGTACTGCTCGCCAGTGACAGGGATGACTGGTGATACACGTGACAACACAGAGGCGTCTGAACACCATCAAGCAGAGTGAACGAAGCAGACAACAGGGGACACACTGCACGACTGCATCCACAGAAGTTCCCGAAAATGACAGAAAGCAGATGGTTACAGGGCTGCAGGGTGGGGGCAGGAAGGAGTAGAAAAGAGGGATTACAAAGCAGCACCAGAAATTTGGGGGTTTTCTTGACTGCGTAACAGTTTCACAGATGCAGCCATGTGTCAAAACCGTCCACTGTATCTGACGCCACCATAGAGAAGGTGCTGTTCGTCTGTATTACCCTCATGATGCTGCCTGCTCTTAATCACACCTGGCTAGGACAAGAGAGAGGAAGGGCCCGCCTGCCCCACATCCTGCACTCACCCGAAGAGCTGGTGCCGGTTCAGGGTGTAGAGAAGGTAGTCGGCCAGGGTCTCCTCCCCGACCAGGTGGTCCAACACGGTTCCTGGAGACAGGAGGCCCAGTGTGAGCACTGCCAGACAGCCCGGCACCTGCGCTCGAGTGCACCTGTCTCGGTCTCAGCCAGAGGTGCTGTTGAGGAGCAGGCCACACGGTGGCCGCCTGACCTGACCCCTCTGCCCTGTCCATAAAATGGGAGAAGAGAGGCACTCTCTCCAAGGACAACTGTGAAGGTCAGTGCTGTCAGAGGGTGCCTGGCACACGTCAGCTGTCCGCTGAGACTGCACAACGCTGCTTGAGACACCCTCTCCCGACAGCTGTGGGGGTGTCTGCAGCAGCCAGGCTAAGGCAGGCACAGCCCACCCAGGTGGGGGCCCTGCGCCAAGGCAGCGGGTGTGGCCCTAAGGGCGGCCCCGGCTCACCACACAGGGCCAGCTTTAGGCCCGTCTCCACGCTTTCAATCCGAGGCGCCAGCACCCCAGGAGTGTCCAGCAGGAACATCAGGGGCCGCTCACACACCTGCAGGTACAGAAGGTGGTTGGGCCGGGCTCTCAGGAAGCCCTGAGCAGCCCCTCCCACCAGGCCTTCCGCTGGGTGCCCCCTTGAGCCTCGTGTTGGGTTCCTGAGGCTCCGAGGAACCTGCCCGAGGAATCTGCCCCCATGGGTGTCATCATTTTCATCAAGTTATCAGTTTCCCCACAGGATTTGATTCCCATTTAACTGGGAGAATAAATAAAAGCAACAGGCCCAAACAGCCCGTCTCTTCTCCACCTACGGAGACAAGTGAACATGTACAGAAGCTGGACAGTGGCTGACAGGACAGGCTCAGCTCAGCTCAGCCCCAACCACCATGTGGCCTTGGGCAGGGGATGTAACTTCGCCGCACCTCGGTTTCCTCATCTCTAAAACAAGGATAATAAGCATGCCCTCCTGAAAGGTTTGGTGTCAGGGCTGGTGCAGTGCCCAGCCCGTGGCCAGCACTCAGTGGGAATGGAGAGCGGAGGGAAGGGACAGCATGGACAGAGGGGGTCACCTCACAAGCCCTCAGGAAGTGCCGGGCGTCCATGTGTGAGGCTCTGGGCCCGGCAACCAAGGCCGCCTACCTGAATTCTGGACATCACAGCTCTAGTGATCCCAGGCTCGCCGCCCACCCTGGTGGCTTTTCCTGCAAGATAGAAAGGGGCTGTCCGATGTACATTAAACACACAAGGCCTGGCATATAAGCCTCAGAATTAGCAATGAAACACAGGGAAACCTACGAAGGCCCAAATGAGCCTGCATTCAGTGTTCAGCCCCAAACCAGCTCACAGCAGGCACTCTTTCCACGCCAGGCACCAGAACTCGCCTCCCCCGTGCCTGGAAAGGTGCTCCAAGAACTGCTGAGGGGCCACGACGGTCAGACCAGAGCTGCTGTTTTCAGCACAGCCACCCTCCTCCCTCCTAGACATGACCCTATGCCCCCGAGGCCCAGTCCACACCCTGCAGAGTCTGCTGAGCTCCTGACCGACCTGCCAGCCTGTGCTCTGAACACTGGCTGCTCTGGAACCCAGCCCAGGGTGTGTCCCAAGCAGACTCTGCCCCTGCCGAATCAACTCGAGAGGAAAGGGGCACATGTGTCCACTGGTGGATGGACAGACGAGAAATGTGGTCCATCCATACAATGGAATATTACTCAGCCTTAAAAGGCAAAGGCACTCTGACACAGGCTACAACATGGATGAATCTGGAGGACACGATGCTCAGTGAAATAAGCCTACACAGAAGGACAAATGTTGTGATTCCACTCATACGAGGTACCAGATCGTCACAGATCCAGAGACAGAAGGCAGATCTGAGGTTCCAAGGGGGAGGAGGAGTCAGCAGTTATGTTGACAGAGTTTCAGTTTGAGATGATGGAAAAGTCTGGAAATAGATAGCATGATAGTTGCACAACACTGAATGTACTTAATGTCAATGATTTTTTTTTCTAGTTTTTTTTTTTTTTTTCGGTGAGGAAGATCAGCCCTGAGCTAACATGTGCCAATCCTCCTCTTTTTTTGCTGAGAAAGACTGGCCCTGGGCTAACATCCGTGCCCATCTTCCTCCACTTTATATGGGACGCCGCCACAGCATGGCTTGCCCAGCGGTGCGTCGGTGCTCGCCCGGGATCCGAACCAGCGAACCCCGGGCCACCGCAGCAGAGCGCTCGAAATTTAACCGCTTGTGCCACCAGGCCGGCCCCTCAATGATTTTTTTTAAAGCCACAATTAAAGAGAAATAAACTTAAAAAAAATAGATGACTGTAACAACTCTCCAATGAGCACCAAAACCACCACCTGCGAAGTGACGGTTCCGCATGGTCTACAGTCTTCGGTCTGTGCACTGGGACAGGTGTGTCCACAGACAACTCACGTGATGTAGAAAAGGAAGCTAACAGCCTTCAAACACTCAAGAGGAGAGAGTGAAGGCACAGCAAGTGAGCACTGCAGGCGCTTGTGACTCGAAGTCAGAGAATAGCCTGAACCCGGGAGACAGGCCACAGGGCTCCCAGCGCGACTCCCACGCAGGTGTGCAAAGCCTTTCGGTGACCCTGCTCGACGAGAACAAGTACGCACTCTCTCCCAGGTCACGACGTGAGGGACACCTGGGTCAGACGTCGGCCTCCAGCCTGACACCAGACCCTATCTACTGCACAAAGTTTTGCATACAACCGATCAAAGCGGCTTAAATACATGAAAAGACAACTCATCAAAGTTTAGTAAAATCATCCACGTATTAAACATCTTAAATATTTAATATTTAAGAGAGAACAAATTAAGTATAAAATGCGTAACAGGATGACTCTGTCTCACCATTCAACTGAACATGAGGCCACTAATTGGGTCCTTCTGGTGGGAAGAGACAACCCCGAGGAGCTGTGAGGCCGTGGGGGCTTTGTCTCAGAACATTAAGCGGGGCTGCTTGCCAGGAAAGATGGAGGCGTCCCACCCCAGCGTGCATGCCCGCGGTACCTTTCCTGAGGTGCTGTCTCCGCAGGGAATTGATGAGTGAGGACTTGCCCACGTTGGGGACCCCGATCACCATGATGCAGTACTCTAGATTCTGCAGAGGCAGAAGAGCAGCAAGTCAGGGCCCCACCGGGACCCCCACCCAGCCCACACAATGCGGCCCACGAGCCCAGGCCAGCTTAGGGGAAGGAAGGTCAGTGCAGAGGCCCTGCCCACCTCAACAGGGCCACCCCGTCCTTCCTGCTGGGCAAATGAGAGGACAGAGGGTGGCTCCTCTGGCTAGGGCAGCACCCCCTCCTCCTCTGCGCCTGCAGCGGTGCACAGAGACGTGAGAGGCCCTGTCTGTGCCGAGGTCCCAGGAGTTCTGGGGCTCAGCCACTGCTCAGCAGGTGAGGTATGGGCTCCTCAGCAGGAGGGACTGTCCCTCGGCCAACTCTAGGCCTCCCAACCAACCTCTCCTCGGTGATAGCGGTAGCTGCTCCCGACCAGTTCCGTGACCCTCGGGATGATCTGCAACAAACCAACCACACATAGGCACTTTCACATGCAAACCTGGCTTCCTCCCCAGCTCCTGGAGGTGGTACAGGCTAGTCTCCAGCACCGGGAAACTAGGATTCTGCCCTCATCACGGATTTAGACTGCACTGTGGTGGGGGGTGGGTCACCTGTGCACCGCCCTGTCACTCCACCATGAATGAGGACAGTCCCCCGGGGGGTTGACAGCTGTGACAGCAAACACCCTCCAACAAAGACACACGTCAGCCAATGAAATTCCCCAAATACAACTAGGAAAAATAAGGCACTAGACTGTCCAAAGGCTTCTCCTATTTAACAGCCTGGAATGGATTTTACGGCCCGATCTGGTGCTCTGTCAAACCCACCAAAGGCTGCCCAGGGTCAATCCTGCTCTCGGCAGCAGGAGACAAGTGCCCCCCAGAAACCCCCACAAATCCATGGATCATCTCCAAAACTCTGCTTCTTGTGAAAGCACGAAATAAGCGACAGTCTCTCTCGAACGTATTTAAGCAGAAGCATCAGAGTACAAAACAGAAACAGGCCTACCTGCTTGACATTTTCATCTTTTACACAGTTGGTAAAAACGACATTTTTTAGCCCTTCTCCTTCTAAGTGTCGTATAATTTTCTGAAAGAGACAAGACATTTCCATTTTAAATACCAAATGAAAATATGGGTGGTGTGATTCACTAAAATCTGAGGATCTGAGACTGAAGGCTCCCGTCTGCCAGGTGTGACCAGAATTTACTGGTCTTCACATTAAGTGAAAGCACGTGACTCACGTTTTTTAAAACCAGTATTGTATTGTTTGACCAGCTAAATATGATCAACACTTAAATGAACAAAAATGTCATGCATTAATTCAGTTGTTTCAGTTACTTATTTTGGTTATTTTTTATGACGATGCAGATTAAGATACAGACCACAAAAAGATATATTTGAAGCCACACTTTGAAGTGTATAAATTTGCACAGGATGTCCCCACTGCACAGAGGCAGACAAGGGGGGACCCTCACGGGGGCATCCCCTCCCCTCTCTTCTCCAAAACCTCGGCCGCAGCAGCAGCACCTCAGAGAAGGAGCAAACACTCCAGCTGCCTCCCAACCAGGTGAGACACTCCTGTCCCTGTATCGGGTCACCAAATGTGCCCACCACACAACAGAAATCTGCATTTAAGGGCAAAAGCGCTCATAAGACTTAAGTCTCAACTAATAAAATCAACTGAAAGCTTGTGATGATAAATACTACTACGGCAAATGCAGTGAAAACCGGGAACATCTTGTTCTCCGAGGACTGAACCGCCTCCTTCCCACAGCAGGAGGGATTAAATGATGGGCTGTGAGCGCACGGAGGGGCGGGCGTCAGGCGAGAAGCCTTCTTTGTTCATTGGGATCTCAATGAACAAACAATCTCAAGGCTTTAGTGTCTGCTGTTTCCCCAGAAACCTGTGGTGAAGGCTTGTGGTTGGGGTTTAAGTTAACTCAAAGGTACCACAGTCAACTAGGAAACCTGAAACACGTCCTCGCTGCTGCAACAGAAGGAAAAGTTCTCACCACAAACATCTTGAACAAAACTGGCTGGTGTTCAAGATTCTGACGCCTACTCTGCGAAGGATCTGACAGCAGAGCAAGAAAAGCAGAGATGAACATTTCCAAAATCCTCACATTCCTTTTACCTCTGGGAACGTGGGAATATCCTGCACTTGGTCACTGATGTCCCCTGAGCCCGCCTGGCTTTGGAGAACTCCGCTAGCTCCTTTGGGCCTCCCCAACACTTCCAGCTTCCAGATCACATGGTGTGCAGAGGGCAGCCCACAGGACAGGTGGGGTCTGGGAGGCCGTGGAACTGGCCAGTGTGGAGAGTTGGCAGCAAATGCGGCCATCACAGGAGACCTCCAGGCCAGCGCTGTCCAGGCCTGAGGCCAGCAGCCTCACGAGGCTACTGAAGATTAAACTAATTAAAGTGAAAGGCAGTTCTGCAGCAGCAGAAGCCACATTTCAAGTGCCCACAGCCACGTGGGGCCCTTTGCTCTGGCAGCACCTCCCGGCCCACTCCCATGGGAGTGTACATTTGGATCACGTGGATCATACGTGCAGGTACAAGGGAAGCACCGTTGTGAGAAACTGCTGGGACCCCTCTGCAAACACAGGGTTGTGCGCTAAGGCAAGCCTGCCTGGACACTGACACTGAGTGTTTGCACCAGCGAGTCTTAGTGGACACCAGCGACCCTGGTGCTGGGGTGTCTGCAGACGGGCCCTCACCTGCTGCTCCTCCAGATCCGCCAAGTCCATCTTGTTAAGGACGAGTAAGTGAGGCTTAAGCCCAAGGGTTTCCTGAAACAGAGGGTTGCGGCCTGAAAGTGGGATGTGGTGGAATTAAGGGAAAATTCCTTCAGAGCTTTCCCAGCAGGGCATTTACTTTGCCTCATCTCCATATGTAGATCAGCACCATGGCCAGGTCTTCACGCAGGGAGGAGGAAGCCCAGTCTCAGAGCAAGCGCCCACCACCAGCCCCACCTCAACGCTAAGAAACCGACCCCCAGTGCCACCCGCCCGGTGTGGAAGGCGGTGGGGAAGGTGTGTGCCTCTCCTCACTGCCCCAGGGCCACTGCAGGCCGGACGCTGCCTCCTGCAGACCAGAAGTGGACAGGCAGGGCGGTGGCTCTCACGGGGCTTCTCAAACAGGAACAGTGCTGGCAAATAAAACACAAAGCTCAGAGGAAGGTTTTATACCCAGATCGTTGTTTAGTTGCCAAGGTTCCTGAGTTCAAAATGAATGATTTGATTGCTCAAAAAAAAGTGCCTCCCTTAAAGTCTTAACCAGCATATCTCAAACCACCACTGCCACCTCTGGAGACGGAGAGGAGACCCTCAGCAGGGGACCCTTAGGGCTCACTGTAGCGTCCCACCTCCTGTGACACACACTAACACACAGGAGGGGAGTCCTCTGTCTTTATCTTCTGAGCACTCAGCCCCTTCCTGGTGCTTGATCTCCTGTCAAGTCCAGCTCTGAAATTCCCCAGGCCTCTGGCATGCCCTGGGTCCAGGCACCAGTTAAGCTGCTGTGTCCTCACCCACACAACAAAGGGACTTTCCATAAATCACACTCCTCCCTCAAAGGTTAACAGATCAAGTGCTAATTCAGAACACCAAAAGCCTCCAGACTCCCTCACAGGGTGGCGACCCTGCCATGCCCTAGATAAGAAGTCCAGAGAGCAAGAGGAGATGTCCTCTGTACATTCAACAACACAGTACACTGAGCAATAACTACAGGTTTTATTAGTTTAATAATCAGACATGTAATTGCCAGTAAACACTTTGACCACCATGAGATATCATATGAACTGATATATTTAGCCTACAGCAAAGAACTACGATACTTTACTGCAGAAGTTCCAACAAGCCTTTGAAATCGTGAAAATGGCCCCTCATCCTCCATCCTAGAGATAGTAACCACTCTCAAACCACACCTTCATCATATACAGAGAATCTAAACGTAGCTCAAGTCAACAAAAACAGGGTCTGAAGAGTACACTTGCTAATGAGCAAGATCATCACATCTTGCTGATTCACACCTCAAGCACAGAAGGAGGCCCAGTGGGCAGGAACATTTAAATCAAGGTTTCCTATCCCACCTAGAAATCCCTACTGCTGGACTGGGTTTGAAGGCTTGCGCATGCCAGGTAGAGGTCTGAGACAAACTATGCTACCTACATATCAATGGGGAGCTTCAAAAAACACAAGGCCTGAACCACATACAGAAATCCTGATTCACTGGTCTGGAAAGGAGCCCAGGCACCGGTATTTTTAAAAGCCTCCTGATGAATTCTAATGTGTAACGAGGGTTAAGAGCCACTGCTTTAAATGCCAACTACGACAGGTGAAGCTGCTGGCCACTGCTGTGGCTGACTGGACCAGAGCAGGGACCACACAGAGGTGAATGGAAACAAGGTAACAAGCCAGGAATGCTTCTTGCTCCTTGAGCTCTCGCTGATTCAGGAAGAAAGGCCTCCCCTGCACCACTACAATTCTGCATCCAATTCCAATAGGCTGGGTGTCCTACAATTCAACTCAATTCTGACAGTCTACCTGGAGATCGCGTCAGATCCCACAAGTTAAGGGCTCAGTCCTACAAGACTGCCTCTGCCCCACTTCAGACACCAATCCCAGGTCCAGGTGATCTCCTGTGTGTCAGACCAACTGGCTACAAATTTCAGGTTCCCATGACCCTCCTCGGATTCAATTAATTTGCTAGAGCAGCTCACAAAAATCAGAGAAACACGTTACTTACTAGATCACCAGTTTATTGTAAAAGGATGGAACTCAGGAGCAGCCAGATGGAAGAGCATGTACGGCGAGATTGTGGGAGAGGGCATGGGACTTCTGCACCCTCTCCAGGTGCACCCCAATCTCCACGTGTGGAATCTCCATGTGTTCACCAACCCAGAAGCTCGCCCAACCCCCTCGTTTTGGGTTTTTATGGAGGCTTCATGACAGGGGCATGATTGATTAAATCATGGCCACTACTCATCAATTCAATCTCCAGCCCCCTCCCCTCCCAGAGGTCGGGGGGTGGGACTGAAAGTTCCAACCCTCCAAGATCAGGGCTGGTTCCCCTGGCAGCCAGCCCCACCGAAGTGACCTGGGGGCTTCCCAAAACTCACCTCATTAACATAACAAAAGATATCTTTTTAGCTCCCATCTCAGGAAATTCCAAGGGTTTTAGGAGCTCTGTGCCAGCAATGGGGACAAAAACCAAACACATATTTCTTATTATAAATCACAGTGTCACAATCACCAAAGGATATCCGGGCATCATGCACCTCGATGATACAGTCCACCAGCTTTAGGCTGCTCTGCATCTTCTTCAGCCCTGAAAACAGAAAAAGGACAGCTAAGGGATGGGGCGCACGCCCTTTCAAGAGTGGTGAGAGATTTAAGTTGAACTGTCCAGAATGACACACCACCACAAACAACCTAAAGGAAAACATCTGCGTGAGGCGCTCTAAGCAGCGATAACTGACCACCACTCGCTGGGCGCCTCCTGCAAGCGCAACACGAGGGGCTCAGGAGAGGGACAGCCACAGGTCGAGGAGTGGAGACAGGGCCCGTCTCCACTCCTCGTGAGGCCGGGGCGACTGCCGTGGAGTGTGTAACTCACGGGTCGTGGTCTCGGCTGTAAAAGAGAAAAAGCGACTACGGGGCTCGTGGGCCCTCAGTGCGAGTGGAGGCGACGACGCTGCGGGTCCCAGACTCGCTCCCGGGGCACCTAGCTAGCCCCGGCAACGAGCTCCTCCCCCGCCGCGCTCCCGCTCAGGGGCAGCGACCCGCCCGGCTAGGCCGCCGTCCACGAGCCCTCTGCAGCCCGCCCTGCGCTCCCGCCCGCGGGCGCCGCGTCCCCGTCCCCGTCCGTCCCCGTCCCCGTCCGTCCCCGCCCGCGGGTGCCGCGTCCCGGTCCCCGTCCTGTCCCCGCCTCCGTCTATCCCCGCCCCGCCAGAGGGCGCCGCGTCCCCGTCCCCGTCCTGTCCCCGCCTCCGTCCATCCCCGCCCCGCCAGAGGGCGCCGCGTCCCCGTCCCGTCCCCGCCTCCGTCCGTCCCCGCCCGCGGGCGCCGCGTCGCGGGAGCCAGGGCGTCCCGGGCGAGCGGTGGGGCCGGCCCGGCGCGTCTTCCCGGGGCGCACCCCGACAGCGGGATTCACGCGGGAGAGACACGCCCCCGGTGTGACGGCGCGGACGCCGGCCCGGGCCGCCGTTCAACCCCCCGGCACCGTCAGGACCGCATGGGCTCCACCACAGCCGCGCGAACGGGCCGCGGGGACGAGGGGCCGCCCCGCGGGACTCACCCCTGGCCATGTGGCCCGGGAACCAGCGCGCCACGTCGCGGCCGCCCAGGGGGAAGGTCTCCCGCCAAGCGGCCCGGGCGGCGTCGCACAGGGCGCGCGGGCTCAGCCTCATGGCGCCGCGTCCCGAGCGCAGCTGTGCGCGGGGGAACGCTCAAGCGACAGACTGCTCCGCCGGGCCCGTGACGCAGCCTAGAGGTTCCGGCTCTCCGAGGTTCCGCTGGCTGCCCGCGCGTGCGCACAACGCTGCCTCGGGCGGCTACGGAGCCCAGGGGGCGGAGCGGGGCGCCGGGTGGGCGGGGCTACAACTCTAAGGGCCGACCCGGGACATGCGCAGTCCGGGCAGTTCTCAGGGTTCCTGAGTTTAGGGCATTTTTTTAAGGAATTCGTAGATACATTAACATTCATTAGATAAAAAAAATCCTAGTTCTTCCTTAAGCGTATCCTGAGTATAACTGTACCAAACTTTAGCAGTCCCCTGTCAGTGTTTGGTCCCTTTTTACAAGCTTGGTTAAAATTTTCAAATATTTCAATTTACCTTACAAACGTAATATCTTTCTATTCTTTTTCAAGTTCTCCAGGTTTCAATGTAACACACAAACTGTGCAAACTGTTACACTGTAAACAGTGACTGCAGTTCTGCTAAGTTAAACCGTTACTACAATGAGTCTGCCCCATCCTGTATGTAAACGTCGTCCCATTTCACCTTTACACAGGACCCTAAGTGACTGCTCATCCTGTGACGAGAGCATTACTCTAATGGAATTTCTGAAACCAGCTCCTAAACTTCCAAGCAGGCTCAGACTGTCAGCACAGAACTATCATGACTGCCGTCTTCCTGGTCTAGACCTCCCGATCCTCAGTGCTAAACGGTCCTGGGGTTGAGGGACGGTTGCCCACGGGAGACCAGCCCGCCCGCTGAGTGACACTATCCGAGCCTCCTACCAGTCAGACACCAGTGAGGCCCCAGCCCCTCCCTGCGGAGCCACCTCCCACCCAGAGGGCAGCCTGGGTCTCTCGCCTTTGTCTCTGGATACAGAGATGTCACCTTGGATGTCAACAATACAGCCCTTTGTGCCTCATGGAAGCTGCACTCTCCTAGTTCTAGGACCATAAACTAGAATAAAACCCTGCTGAACTCTGGATTTCTCTCACATATGTCTGACTTGCAGGTGTCCCAAACAGAACCACTCCAGCAACACGAAACAGTGGACAGACATACCTAACCCTGGGGCAGGGGGCAGGGAAGACCCCTTGGAGGAGCGATGTGAAACAAGCTGGGAAGGATGAGAAGGCGCCCTGCAAAGAGCCAGGCTGGAGTGCTGGGGCAGAGGGCACGTTGGCACCACAGCCTGCCATTAGGGACAGGAGAGGAGCCCAGACCCGCCTGGCCCGAGGCCCCTCCTCTAAGCACGCATACGCTCACTCCTGCAGCCAGGGTCAGGGTCCCCCCCCCCCCAGCAGGACCCAGACTGCAGCCTGAGGCACCAGGAGGGACAGGAGCAGCTGACCTCCATCAAGGTGGGTGCGGGGCCGGTGGTCCCACTTCCTGCAGTGCCGAGTCCTGGACCCTGTGGCTCCTGCACCTTTCTCCAGAGCACTGCCCTCCAGCTGCACCAGCCTCCCCCAGGCCTGTCGTGGAAAGATGCCCAAACTCTGCCTCGGCAGCGTGCGACCAGGCGATTACTAAGCCTCTCCTCTGGGCATTTTGTCGTTTCCTCAGCTGTGAAAACGGGGGGCAGTGCGACTCATTCTCCAGGACGCTCTGAGGATGCAGTGAGGTAAGATGGGGGCAGCTGAACACAGCACCCAGGGCACCCCGACACACTCGCCCCGCACCGCCCGGTGCACCCCGACACCCTCACCCCACACCACCCAGGACACCCGGACACGCCCACTCCGCCCGGCTACCCCAGTCCTCTGTGCTCTTGAGACCTCACTGTTAGTTCTCTACCCCCAGAAAACACTGGCCCCCAGGTCAGGACAGGTGGCCCCTGTGCGCTCACGTGCCCCCACCCGCTGGCCCTCGCACAGCCTGCCAGGCAGCAGGTGCTGATGAGTGTCTGTCGATGACAGCAGGAGGTCTGCAGGCTCACTGCAGTCCAGGCACCAGCCACGAGGACTCAGGGACACCTGAAGGTACCCGGGCGAGGGGCAGCCACAGTGCCCAGAGTCCAGGGGGCACAGGGCCCTGCAAGGACCTGGGCCTGGGGAGAGACAGAGACAAAGACAAAAGGGACAGACGCTGGAGTGCTGAGGCGGACGGACGACTCTGGACACAGGAGGCTTTAACACACTTTATTTGCACACCGTCAGCGTGGCATCCCGGGTCTCCCTTCTCCAGGAAGTCTGCCCATGCAGCTCCAGCTCAGCCCTGGCCGGACTCCAGCGACAGACGTGAGCAATGAGAGCTGATCCCTGGATGCATGGACATCCCCATGTCTCCAGCCAGGCTGAACACCGTCTGTCGAGGAAAGGATGGCGCGGCCGCCCCTGGCACAGGAGGAGCAGAGCCGAGCTCAGAGCACACGGAGGAGGGCTCAGAGCCTGGGCCCACGCAGCTGCGCCTGCGAGTCCTGCAGAGCGATGAGCCGGTCGGCCTCCCTCCAGCCGGACAGCAGAGCGCCATGTGTGGTGGAGTAAAACGTCCGGTGTGTTGCTTCCCCAGCAAACAGTACCTGGAGCTGCAGAGAAGGGCGGGTTCAGAACAGAGGCCAGGGGTCGGCCGCAAGCCTCGCGCCTTTTACTGGTGGCTACAGAGCTGACGGCGGGTGTGGCTTTGTTCTTCCCTTAATCCCACTCCCTGACGTCATCGGGAAACAAGAGCACAAGCTGCTGCCGCCACAGGCAGCGAGGGCGCCGCAGACAGCAGCACCCCTGGAAGTACACATGACCGCAAAAATGGAAAACGCAACAGACGGCTTGGGAAACAACATGGAGAACTTCACCCAAAATGCAGAGCAAAAAACCAAGAGGTGGAAATTAGCCCGGAAAAGATAAGAACATTTGAGGACAAGTCCAGAAGTCCAACATCCAAATAACAGAAATCCCAGAAAAAAGGAAAAAAAAAAAAAAAACAGAAGATGAGATAATTCAAGAGAATTTCCCAGCTGACCAAGAGCTGGGCTCCGACAGAAGCACCGGCCCAAGGGGACGGGTGAGCTGAGCGACTGCGGGCTAGAGGGCGGCACAGCGCCGGGCTCGGTGAGCACTAGGCGTGCAGCCTGATGCTCTTCCAAGCTTCCTCAGGGATGTGAACACAGATGACAAGGAAGAACGGGATCCGAACAGCGGTGGACTTCCTCCAGCAGCTCTGGAGACTGTCTTCCACCCTGAGGGACGGGACTCACACACTAGGACTTTATACGCTCTGTGGGGCTTTCACATGGCGATTATTCCTGGAGACTGCTCCCACAGAAAGGTGGGTCTGTGTCCCCCTCGAGTCTGGGCAGGCTTGTGACCACTTCAGCCAGCGGGGTGTGGCACAAGTGGTGCTCTCTGAGCTCCCAGCTTGGTCACTGGAGGCATCACAGCTTCCCACCCCGCTGGGACGCGGTGCTGGAGCCCCGGGTGGCTGCACTGAGGCCCCCGCCCCTGAGGAAGCTCGGCCGCAGAGAGGACACAGGCAGGTGCTCAGTCAACGCCGAGTTCAGCCCTTCAGCCTCCCCAGCCCAGGGCCAGCCATGCAAGAGAAGCTGCCTCAGGTGACCCCGGCCCTGGGTCTGAGTCACCGCCAGGGGGCCGTCTTCCCAGCTGAGACCCCAGACATCAGGGGGCAGAAAAAGGCCATCCCACTGTGCCCACCTACAGAATCTGTCAGCATAATAACGTGGTTGTTTCCACCACCGGGTTTTCGTTTCGGGGTGGTTCGTTACGTAGCAATCAGGACTGGAACACCCGAAGTGTAACGGTAGGAAAAAAGGCATTTTCACACAGGCAAACTTTCTCTAAGAATTTATCTCCCATGCTCCCCTTTCTCAGGAAGCTACTGGAATAAGTGCTCCCACAAAGCAGGGGAGCAAACCAAGAGATGATGCAGAACACAGAGAGCAGGGTCCAGAGCAGGAGTGAGGCACAGGACAGTGGTGGTGGAAGGTCCCGGGGTGGGGGAGGTGCGGCGGGCTCCAGCCATGCCCCGCAGAGCTGAAGCTCACAGACACCTGTGCACAGGAGGGAAGGGAGAGGTGACGGAGACGGCTAGCAGAGCCCAGGCAGAGAGGCACACAGGAGACTGAGCCCCCACACACCAGCATGGACACACACTCCCACGGACACATTCACACCCACTCATGTACACTTGCAGACACACCCTCACACTAGCATCCACAAACAGGCAGGAAAAGAAACCCTGGCCCCTGGCGGCTCAGGTGTGCACAGCCCTAGAGCCAAGACGACGAGCACACTGACCAGAGGCTCCCCAAAATCGCCTCCTCACACGGGGGAGGACGGGAGATGGGACAGCTGGTGGGCAGAGGCGGGAGGAAGCTCAAACCTCACCTGCCACAGTGAGAAGTCAGTGGGTGAAGCCGAAACCTGAAAACCCAGCAGGGACATCGCCAAACAAGCAAACTGAAAAGCGAGCGTAAGGCCCCTGAACACCGGCACCGCGTGTTGGGAACACATTCATTTTTAGTTGTGAATTTTTAGTGTGATGACAGTGTTCTAGTTACACATCTTAAGAGGATGTCCTTTATCTTCGAGAGACGCTCACTGAACTACGTGCAGACGGAACGCGGTCACCTGTGGACGTGCAAACAACAGGCGGGAGAGACTCGGTGAGGCAGCCGTGATTGGCGGCCGAGAAGCTGGAGGTGGGACCCGACAGTTCTGCCCACTTTCGGGTACGTTTGAGTTTTCCACAATTAGATGTTTGTAAACAGCGGTAGCACAGATGTGTTATTTAGAGACACAGACAATGCAAACACACGACTCAGCTGGAAGAACAGGCGGCGAGGGCCCTGGGTGCCCTCCAGCAGCGCTGTTTCGTTATTTTATTTTCTTAGCCAGCACTGTGGAATTCTCTGATACTTCAAGCTATATGTATAATTCTGATAAAAATAATACATTTTAAAATTATTCTTAATCATCATACCTGGGCCTCCTTGCTGTCGGCAGGGAGGGGCTGAGCCAGCAGGTCAATGTCATCCCCGGTGCTGCCCACGGCCACGTAGCTGTAGGAGCCCCTGGTGTATGGGGCGCTGTGCCAGCAAGACCTCAGCATGCTCCTGGGTGCAGGAAGCTGTGGGTTTCCTGGAACACAGGGAGGCCACACGTTAACCCGGCACTCCTGCCCACACCTGCGACTGGTCTTTCAATGTAAAGTCTGAACGGTTTAAAACAGAAAAAACTACCAGAAAAAAAACCAAGCCACGGGTGTATGAACAAGAGGCTCTCATCCCCTCTGCTGGACTCGGAACACCTAGAGAAGCAGCATCCCTAACAGGGACACCACCTGGCGGGCTGAGTCCTGAGTCCTCTCGCGTGACGCCGAGGGCGCGACCCCAGCCTCTTCATCTGTGAAGCTCTCAGGACAGCCGCATTTATTGTGGTGGCAGTTTAGAAAACAGAAGTGGAAAGTGTTTGCAAAGCCGTTTCAGTTCCTCAGAGACAAGAAGTCTCAGAGACCCCCTAACATGAGGAAGGGCTGTCCCTAGAGGTTCACAGAGCCACACTCGGCTCTTCTGTTTGGAAACGTTGGGTTCCCGTTTCGAGATCAGCCAAAACGAGCACAAGGCAGTGCCACGGTCGTGGTGGTCAGTACCTGTCACCCCGCGAAGCACTTGGGTCAGAGACAGAAGCACTTCCTCATCCGACAGCGTCTCCATGAACTCGGACTCCAGCCCGGCAATGAAGCCGCAGAGGACGTGGACAGACCTTCGTGGAGAGAAACGCCACTGAGACCACCTGCCTCCGGCGCAGCTCTCCCCTGGTCGCCCGGGTCTCTTGGCCAGGACCCAATGACCATGCAGGGAGTGCCCAACATCACCCAAAGAGTGCCCTCAGGTCAGCAGTTCTGCCAGTGTGGGCCAGACTCTGGGGCCCCAAGACCCCAGGGACCTTTCCCTGACACTAAGACGGTATTTGCCGTGTCCACTCTGCCAAGGTTTGCACCGAAGGGTAAGCTGCTGTCCCTCAGCAGAATCGAGGCCCCGACACAAACCTACAGCAGACACAGTGTTCTTCCCGCCACAGACACACAGTAAAGACGCCAGAGTTCCTCGAGAAGGGCCCTGAGGAAGCATTCGGTCATTAACTGTGTCACATCCAGACTCCAGTGCGTGTCTTCTAACAGTCTGTGTGAAGAGACGGGAAGCAGGCAGGAAGCTCAGACACCGTCTTCCCTGGAAGACGACGCACAGACGAGCTGTGGTGCTCAGGCTTGGGGTCTGGCAGATATTTTCTTGAAAATGAGCAAAGTGTGTCTGTCACATGGAAAACTACCGCAAGGATTTATTGCCGGTGATACAATTTAAGCTCTCGAGCAAAAATTAGAATTTTAGAAAATCTGTATCCGCCACCAACAGCTTGATGGGTTCCCAATACTGAGAGATTTTTCTGAGATCAGTGGTGATATCAATTAATGTAATTTTTTGATATTGTACAAAGAAATATATCAACATTTGGAAGAATGCATGAACCAATATTTTCCAAAAGACGAAAACATGGATGGTAAGAGATCCACTCACAGTGTGAGACGGACAAATGGACCTGAGTGTAACCGAGTGCGAACATCCACTCACGTGGTTCCAGATTCCATGCTCCACCTCTAAGAAACTACCACTTCTTGAGTTTTGGTGTAATATCAAAGAATACCCACAATTATCTGAAAACTACAGTATTTAAATACTACTCCTTTTCCCAACTACACATATACTTCATATATTTTGGCCAGAATGCAGAAGCAGCCGTGAGAATCCAGCCGCGTTCCACTAAGCCTGCAAAAAGACAAAACATTGCCAGTCTCCTCACTATATTTTGTTTTAGAAATATAGTTATTTTTCATTAAAAATGTTATTTATGCTAACACAGAATAGGTTTACTATGATTTTAAAGAATAAATATCTTTAAATTTCTCAGTTTTAATTTTTAACGTGGTGAATGTACAGATACAACACACATAAACAAAAGCTCTTTGGGATCCTGGATAATTTTTAAGACTATAAAAGGAGGTCCTGACACCACAAATTGTGAGAGCCACTGCCCCGTGCCACAAAGTGTCCCACGAGGGCACCCAGGGTCCCCAGGACTGTCATCCCCAACGTCCTGAGCACAGAGCGCAGGCTGCAGAGCCGGGCCTGGAGCAGGTGGCCGAGCATGCCTCTAAACCCCTGGATGTCAGCTTTACCTTCAGGGCAGAGGAGACACACGGGGGCCCCACAGGCTGGAGGAGCAGCCGGGACAGCCCGAGGCATCCCGCTCTCGTGGTGTTGGGGACAAGCCCCGAGGGCAGGCCTGTCCACACCTCCCTTCTTATCCCGAGTCCTCCAGGCCGAGAACGTGGTCCGCAACCCCACCACATCTCCACACGGAAACCTCGAGTCATGTCTGCCAACGGACCACAACGCACTGTGTCTTAATCCTGCCGGGAAGATCAGTCTCTCCCTCCCTAAAGTACACGTGGTCTTGTTTTCTGAGTTAGCACCACGTCCACACACGCTGCCTTATTTACGCTGAATAGCTTGGCCACACAATTAGTCCTTCATTTATGGCTCTATGAGTCCACGACTTATAAGGATGTTCTGTTCAATTACTGCATTGGGTTCAAGTATTGTCTCCCAGCTATAGGCACATCCATGTTTCCAATTTCTTCTGTAACCTACCGGCCCCAGCTTCCTGAGAATTTCAGTAAATACTTTCCTACTGACAGAAAGTGCTTTCCGGTCCACCAGCACATTCCAGGCCCGAGAGATGCTGACCTGCTGCGCACCGGAGGCTTCCGTCCGTCTTCGTGGGGGTTAGGCCCTGGGTGTCTGTCACCAGCGCTCTGGGGTGCCCTTGAGGTCCCCACCCATCAAACCCTCCAGAAACGCCTCACAGCGAACGGACACACTGCTGGTCCTCAAGCAAACCGAGGCCCACGAACCAGCCCCCACTCGGAGCCCACAACCGAGGCCTCCTCAGAGAAACGGGGAGCGTACGTACTCGAAGGAAGGTAGGACGAAAAAGCCAATAAGCTTCTTGAACCAGGCGGCCTGGGGCTCAGGGGCGGCGTCCTCCAGGGGCGACGTGTCCTCCCACACCACCTGGATGTGCTGGCAGCCCGGCTCCCAGAAGGGCTCCTCAAACTCCAGGAATATTTTATTGTTGGTCCCGAAGCCGATTTTCCTGATGGCTTCTGCCTTCTCAGCGGGCAGTGGCGGCTCAAAGAAGGTGTCCAGACGTTCTTTAAGAAAACCTAGAATTTATAATCGGACTCAACTTACACCACATAAATCTCTCAAAGTGGAATCGGCAGCGATAGGAACTGCCCTGACCTCCGTCAGGGGAGTCAGAGAAAGAGGCCTCCAAAAACGCCCTGTCCAGGAGGGACCATGCCACACTGGCCGTCGGGCCTCACAGCCTCGGATGACCAGCACCAAAGTGGAAGGACACAAAAGCCACGAGGCCACCTGGTCGGCAAGGACAGTTTGCACACACACAAGCTGCTCTGTAGCGACAGCTTCTCACTCCCGAGCCTTCCGCCTCCAACCTCTGCAGGCCATGCTGCTCAACGTTAGTGTGGAGGAGCGGTGAGATATGCAGGCTTCATCCAGAAGCCACATACACATCAATCTGCATGGCAAAAATAAACCTAGCTCAAAGTCAACAAGGGGATGAAGTCTCTGCGGCACAAGCCCATCTCCTTAAGACACAGATGACTCGAAAGTTAGTCAGGAAAGGACGAACAGCGCAGCAGGAAAGGAGGCCCCACGGCATGAGGCGTGGGGCCCACGGAGCGCATCAGTCCTGTCTGTCCTGGCTCTGTAAACTTGGGCGATTATCGACTTATCTTTGTTCCCATCTGTCAGACGGGGATGGGGACAGATGCATTCCCAGACTGCCTGAGGAGTAAGTGAGGTAACGCAGGGACACTTGGCTTTCAACCATCCCACCTTTCATCAAATTGCCAACTCCTACTCAAGACTCCTGTCATCAAATCTAGAATTAAGCAGAATCATATACATGACTCCTCCCTCAATTCTGCCAGGGCCTAACCTTGAGACCTGGCTTTCACGGCCTCTCCCACCTCGGAGAAAGCAGTTTGGTAACCCTCCAGAGGGAACCGCAACCCTTCCATAAATTATCTCCAAAGGAGCAGGAAGACAGTGACTTACGTTTTCTCTTATTGTGAAACGCTTAATTCCAAAGCACACATTTGCTACAAAACACAATAAAGTAATCTGATCCGAAACATAGAAGGAAAATGTAAGCTTAGTGGCCAAGCAAACGCCCCAGAACCACCTGAGGAAGGAGGAAGCCAGAGGCCAGGGGCACCTGGGATGGGGAACAAGGGGAAAACCTGGCAAGAAATATGGGCTCACCTAAGGGCACGGTGACCACAACGTGATGCGCTGGGAAGAAGGCTCCATCCTCACACTCCACAGACACTGGAAACGTCTGCCCCGGGGACGTGGCTTCCTGGAAGGACCCATTCCAGTGAATGGTCTTCACAGGCTTGTTAAAAACTATTGTGTCCTTGGGCAGGGAGGCCACCATGCAATTTGTGAGTCCTTGGTAGCCCCTGTGAGAGACACAGTGTTGGCACTGTTTAGAGAAGAAGACGCTGAAATAAGCCCTCTAGGCTCGAAGCAGGATGGGGGAGCTGCAGTGAGCACTTGGTCCTGACCTGTGGGCTCGGCTCAGCGCAGGAGGCGCAGGAGGCGGCCCGCTGGGAAGGAAGGCAGGGAGTGGGCTCCACCCTGCGGTTTTCTGAGTCCACCACAGGACTGTTAACACCCACCTCCCACCTCCAGGGCTAATGGAAGGATTAAAAGAGCGAATGGACGGGAAGCTCCCAAGATAACAACGGCCGCCTCCTGACCACCCCCCACCTCCAGTTCTGAGCACTTCCTGAGTCACAAGTGCCCTCCCCTGTGTGGAAGCCTGGGACGATCACACCAGGGTGACACCTGGGAGAGCCCAGTGGGACAGTACCCGGTGGGGAGACAGCCACCGGCCACAGGAGATGGCCTATCTGCCCATCTCTGAGACTGACAGAGTTTAGCACATAAGAGGCCTTATAACCACGGGAAGTAAAAAGCACTACAAGACGCGTTTCCTTCTTTTAATCACTTTTTCTTGAAAATGGTTGTTTTCTTTTTCTAGCATTAGCCAAGCTAGAGAAACAACCAACCAATCTCTCGAAAACAGGAAAGACGAACAGCCCTGAGTCCCTCCCTTCTCCTGCCTCCCAAAGCTTGACCTGAGATACATGGAAGGACCCCGGGGATACACGGAGGGGGGCCTGGGGTACGTGGAGAAGGACTGGGGTACATGGATGGGGCTGGGTGTGTGGAGGGGGCTTGGGGTGTATGGAGGGAGCTGGGTACAGGGAGGTCGCAGTGCATAGAGGAGACCTGGGATGCATGGAGGGGGCCTGGGGTGCATGGAGGTGTCTGGGATCATGAAGGTGTCTGGTGCACATGGAGGGAGGTCAGGTGCATGGAAAGGGCCTAGGGTGTGTGGAGGGGGCCTGTGGTAGATGGAGGGGGCCTGGGGTGCGTGAAGGGGGCCTGCAGTAGATGGAGGGGGCCTGGGGTGCGTGGAGGGGGCCTGAGGTAGATGGAGGGGGCCTGGGGTGCATGGAGGGGGCCTGGGGTGCGTGGAGGGGATCTGGGACGCATGGAGGTGTTTGGGGTGCATGGAGGGGACCTGCGGTGCGTGGAAGAGGCCTGCGGTAGATGGAGGGGGTCTGGGGTGCATGGAGGGGGCCTGCAGTAGATGGAGGGGCTCTGGGGTGCATGGAGGGGACCTGCGCTAGATGGAGGGGATCTGGGGTGCATGGACGGGGCCTGCGGTAGATGGAGGGGGTCTGGGGTGCATGGAGGTGGCCTGCAGTAGATGGACAGGGTCTGGGGTGCATGGAGGGAATCTGGGATGCATGGAGGTATCTGGGGTGCATGCAGGGGACCTGGGGTGCGTGGAAGGGGCCTGCGGTAGATGGAGGGGGTCTGGGGTGCGTGGAGGGGATCTGGGGTAGATGGACGGAGTCTGGGGTGCATGGAGGGGATCTGGGATGCATGGAGGTGTCTGGGGTGCATGGAGGGGACCTGGGGTGCGTGGAAGGGGCCTGCGGTAGATGGAGGGGGTCTGGGGTGCATGGAGGGGGCCTGCAGTAGATGGAGGGGCTCTGGGGTGCATGGAGGGGGCCTGCAGTAGATGGAGGGGCTCTGGGGTGCGTGGAGGGGGCCTGCAGTAGATGGAGGGGATCTGGGGTGCGTGGACGGGGCCTGCGGTAGATGGAGGGGATCTGGGGTGCATGGAGGGGGCCTGCAGTATATGGAGGGGCTCTGGGGTGCATGGAGGGGGCCTGCAGTAGATGGAGGGGCTCTGGGGTGCATGGAGGGGGCCTACAGTAGATGGAGGGGATCTGGGGTGTGTGGACGGGGCCTGCGGTAGATGGAGGGGGCCTGGGGTGCATGGAGGAGGTCTGGGGTGCATGGAGGGGGCCTGGGGTGCATGGAGGGGGCCTGCAGTAGATGGAGGGGGCCTGCAGTAGATGGAGGGGGCCTGGGGTGCATGGAGGGGGCCTGGGGTGCGTGGAGGGGGCCTGCGGTAGATGGAGGGGGGTCTGGGGTGCATGGAGGGGGTCTGCAGTAGATGGAGGGGGTCTGGGGTGCACGGAGGACTGACTGGGTGCACATGCCACATACCTGGGAAAGGTGCAGTCTAGCCCAGGCAGCACGGTGTACTCCCCGAAGGGTGCCAGGGCCAGCAGGTCCATGCTGTGGGTGCCGCTCACACAGCACTCTACGTTGAAGAAGGTGTTCAGCACGGCCAGCTTGAGTTTCTTGGTCTCCTCATTCTCTGTCCAGCAGGCCATGTGCCGACTGACCTCCTTCTTGAGGTACTCCCCAACGCTGGGCACTGGAGTGTGCGCTGCGTGCTGAAACTCCCGCATCTGGTCTATGAGGCCATAGAACAGACTGGCCATCTCCGCTACCAGCTCAAAGGTCACAGTTCTCCCGGAGCTGGTATAGGACACAGACGGCAGGCCCACATGACCGCCAGTCTCCACCAGCTGGTTCTCCTCAGACAGCTCCTTCTCCCCCAGCAGCCCATACTTGGCAGCCAGCTGGAAGACAGGGTTGCCCTGGGAGGGCCCGTGGATCCAGTGAGCACCCACCTCCACCACACCACCTGGGAAGGAACAGGAGATGCCACCTTGAGGTTCTCTCTCCACGAAGGGCAGTCCTGAGCCCTTCTGGATCACACTCAGCCCTGCCCTTCCCAAATATGCTCTCAAAACCAGCCCCAGGGCCATCTGGTCCCTGAGGACCAGTCCCTCATGGCAGGGCCTGTCAGACCTAGTTTAAGGGGAACACCTCAGCGGGGGTGCTGGCCCGCGCCTGCCTTGGAAGGACACGTGGAGAGACGGCCTGGGAGACCCGGAGGGGGGAGCTACCCGTGGGTGTGGACCAGGGGCAACCGTGGACAGCCACAGCTTCCCTTCCCCGGAGGGGCCGGCCCCGCTGACTGCTGGCAGCTGAGTTTCGAGGACCAGAATCTTTGCCGGTTAAGTGCAGCGAGGCAGGGATGGACTTGAGGGCCCGGTAACGCTTCCAAGCCGGTTAACCCGGGCGCAGGCCGGTCCAGGGGGCAGCAGAGCTCGGGGAGCACCGACTGAGCTCCGGCAAGTGGTTCCAGGAAGGGGTTCCGGGAAGGAGTTCCGGGAGAGGCCGTTACCGAAGCTGCGCTCCGAGCGGATGCGGCCGCCGGCGCGGGCCGTGGCCTCCAGGACTCGAAGGTGAGAGAAGGCCGGGTGCCGGCAGAGCCTCTGCGCTAAGCCCAGCCCCGCGATGCCGCCGCCCACCACCAGCACCCGCGGGCCGAGGCCCGGGGCCTCCGCGCTGCCGCTCGACTCCATCACGCCGTCCGGGACGGTCCCCGCGCGCCCCGGCAGCTCGGAGGTCCGGAGCGCACTGAGGAGGGCACAGGCAGGCGGGGGACGCGGGGCGGGGAAGCGGGAGGTGGAGCGAGAGGCGCAGGGCGGGGGCGCGAGGCAGGGGCGCAGAACGAGAGGTGGAGCGAGGGGCGCGGGGCGGGGACGCGAGTTCGGGGCGCACTGTGGGGGCGGGGACGCGGGAGGTGGAGCGAGAGGCGCAGGGCAGGGGCGCGAGGTGGGGGCGCAGGTCGAGAGGTGGAGCGAGGGGCGCGTGGCCGGTGCAGGGGACGCAGGGTGGGGGCGGGGGCGCGGCGCGCAGGAAGAGAAGTGGAGCGCTGGGCGCAGGGCGGCCCCCGCGTGAGCCCCGCCCGTCTCCGCGGGCCCCGCTAGGTGTGGTCTGGGGCTTCTCCGGGAGGCCAGGCCCACGGCCCAGGACGGTGGCGGAGTTGTGCGAGCTCCGCTGGCCGCCGGGAAGGGGAGGGCGAGCATGGAGGGGTCGGTGTGTTTCCCCCGCTGCCAGGAGGTGCGGGCAAGTGTCTCCACGGAGGGAGAATCGGGCAGGCTGGCCATGCGGCTCGTTTCTCTTTCCAAAGGAGGCGTGATATCGGCCACCAGAAGGCGGAAGAGGCGCCTCCCTCCCGCCCCATGAGGCGAGCGCCTTTCTCTTGGGACCCCATGGAGCCCATGGTGGAAGTCCAAGGAGGGGTCTGGTGGGTCCTGTGGTGTCAGGATGGGACGGGGAGAGCTTAACAACTCCAAAGCGGTTCTGTGAGGTCGTCTGCTGGCGAGGACAGCATTCTCTGTGTGTGTGTGTGTGTGTGTGTGTGTGTGTAGTCACATGTCTACATACACACAGGACATAATACACACAAGATACTTGTCAACCACAAAGATAAAACAGCCAGTTATTTTACCAGCAAAATTGGTTTATTTGGGAGTAAAGGAAGAATTGCAATTTGGGATGTGCATGCCTTGGCGGACCATAGGCAAATCCAGCAATCAAAGGAGAGGAACATTGTTTTATGGAGAAAAGGGAGAAAGTTGGGAGGGGTGGTTTTGAAGGGAAGTCCACTGGAGGAGAGCGATAGTTCAGGTGTGATGGTTTCTCATTGGCTGAGTTGCCAGGTCCTCCATTTCTGTTTGGGATGCAGTGTACATCTCTCCCTGTAATGGATGATTCTTCCCTGTTGAGGACTTCTGTTGGGGTCTGTAAGTGACTATCTCCCTGTAACTGACCTGGAGTGGTACTGCTGGGAGCTCCCCCTTCTGGCCACTGGACTCCATTTTAAATGAGGTTTCCTTTTATTAATTTTCACAGGACAAAGTTGAGGATAAATGAAGGGTGGAGGAGAAATGCCTCTCGTGCCCCCCATCCCGGTTCCCGCATGCAGGCATTTCTGGACTTCCTCTCCTTCAGGCAGGTCTGTTCTCTATGCTTTGCAGGGATTAGAAAGCTACTGCCTTCTGCTAAAGGGTCATCAGGCTTCCCTGTAACACCCTATCAGGGCTTGTCATTCCTTCTCAGCCACACACTGGGCCCTGCTGCTCTGACCCACCCGGTGGTGCCTCCGTGGACTCTCTGGGCCACCTATTCCCTCTGGGTGAGGGTGGCCAGGGGTGGGGGCCCTGCAGGCCACGGCCACACACTCTTGAGTTAGCTCCTTCTCCATCTCCCAGAGGACACCTTCTCTCTCCTTGTGTTGGCCCTCCTCAGCCATATAGTCTTTTTTTTTTTTTTTGAGGAAGATCAGCCCTGAGCTAACATCTGCCAATCCTCCTTTTTTTTTTTTTTTCCACTGAGGAAGACTGGCCCTGGGCTAACATCCATGCCCATCTTCCTCTACTTTATATGGGATGCCGCCACAGCATGGCTTGACAAGCGGTGTGTTGGTGTGCGCCTGGGATCTGAACCGGTGAATCCCGGGCCGCTGCAGTAGAGCGTGTGCACTTAACCGCTTGCGCCACCTGGCTGGCCCCCATATATTTTTTCTTTGGTTCATTCTCCTGTTTTGGTGATGCTGAGAAGAGGTATCTGGGAGATCATTATTTAAAGATATTCAAACCCAAGAATGTCTTCATTTTGCTCTCACACTTGTAGTTTGCCTAGGCATGGGGTTCTAGGTGAGAAACCTCCTCCTTCAGACTACAAAGGCATTGCTTTCTTGTCTCCTCCGTTCTGGTGCTATTAAGAAATTCACAGCCATTCTAATTTCTAATCCTTCACATGCAGTGGAGGCTTTTTCCTCCCTGGAAGTTTCTAGGATCTTCTCTTGAAATTTCACGACGTAGTGCCTCCTTGTGCCTCAATTTTCATTCACTGTATTGGGCACTCAAAGGGCCCTCAATCTGGAAACTCCTGTCCTTCAGTCCTAGGAAGTGACTTCATTGATTATTTCAGTGAGCAATTGTTTCTACCAATGACACCTCCCCAGTTTACTGTTACCTCTTTCTTTTTTTTTTTTTTTTGGTGAGGAAGATCAGCCCTGAGCTAACATCCATGCCAATCCTCCTCTTTTTGCTGAGGAAGACCCACCCTGAGCTAACATCTATTGCCAATCCTCCTCCTTTTTTTCCCCTCTTCTCCCCAAAGCCCCAGTAGATAGTTATATGTCATAGTTGCACATCCTTTTAGTTGCTGTATGTGGGACACCGCCTCAGCATGGCCGGACAAGCGGTGCGTCGTTGTGCACCCGGATCGGAACCTGGGCTGCTAGTAGCTGAGCACGCGCACTTAACTGCTAAGCCACGGGGTCGGCCCCTGTTGTTACCTCTTTCTAGAATTCCTATTTTAGGATGTCAGAACTTTGAGACTGGCCGTTGAATAGTCAAATATATTCTCTCCTGTTTTTCATCTTTATCTTTTTGCTCTGTTTTCTGAAGAATTTCTTCCATCAAGGCTTTTGTTTCTGCTTTCATAGTGTTTAATTTCCAAGAGCTCTTTCTTCTACAAATGTTTCTTTTTAAAGAAGAAAATTGTTCTGTTCATGCTTTACGGAAGTGTCAACTTAAAAAGCAAATTCACCTGTAATTTTACCTTCAAAACAAGTTTATTCAAGAATAGCTGGGGGCTAGCCTGGTGCCATAGTGGTTAACTTTGTGTGCTCCACTTTGCTGGCCCAGGGTTTGCACGATCAGATCTCAGGCACGCGCCGATGCACCGCTTATCAAGCCATGCTGTGGCAGCGTCCCATGTAAAGTGGAGTAAGATGGGCACAGATGTTAGCCCAGGGCCGGTCTTCCTCAGCAAAAAAGAGGAGGATTGGCAACAGATGTTAGTTCAGAGCTAATCTTGCTTAAAAAAAAAAATAGCCAAAAGAATTGTAATTCAGGCTGTGCCTGCTATGGAGAACCACAGGCAAATCCAGAGAACAAAGGAGAGAGCTGCTTTTATAGAGAAAGAGGGGGAGAGGGAGGAGCTGTTCTAAAGGAAAGTCCATTGGGGGAGAGTGACAGTTCAGGGTGGCAATGGCTTCTCATTGGATGAGCTGCAGCGTTTCTGATTGGCTGGGCTGTTGCTGGGTGGGGAGAAAAATCTTCCCTCAGTAGTAAAGTAGTTGTACTTCCTGTCAGAGATGAGTCCTCTTTTCCTGTTTGGTGACATTGAGGATGTGATGGGATGAGAGCTCCCCCTATAGGCCTCCCCGACCCAGTTTAGCTGAGGTTTCTCTCATTTCACGGAAGCAATGTCCTTGCTTCTCTGAGGATACAGTGAGAGACACTGAAGTTATTCTCCTGCTTAGTGTTTGCTCCAAGTTGTCTCTTTCCTGTTTCTTTTGGCTCTGTCTTCCAGGAAGAAGCTTTGCGAGATGTCAGGTAAAGTCTGTCTGCTCATGAGGAGGCATGTCAGGCAGGTCTGGAAACCTCAGGTTTGTGAGTGGGACCCATCAAACGTGAGCTTGACTCCAGGGTGCTCCAGGGGGGCTGTTAGTTGGGGAGCCCCTGTCAGTATCTCTAGGTCTTTCCTCCAGCTGGTCAGGCTCCCCGGGAAGAGTCTTCCAGTCTCCTGCCTGGAGCATAGAGGCCCAGCTGCCAGTATATCCAAGGAGTGGGTGGGAGTGGAGAGGTAGACTCACCCTCAACTGCCGTCCTCCTCCTGGAGTCCCTCCAGGCAGAGAAGAGACTTTCAGGCTGCTGCCAGCAGGGGGCCCAGACAGTCACTCAGTGCCACTGCTGGACTGTGAAAAGGGGGTTAGGAACCTGCTTCCTAGGCCTGAGAATACAGTACCTATTCAGATAATTCAAGGTGCTGAGGACTCATCGCTGAGTAACAGGGGCAAAATCCCAGCCCTCATGGAGTTCAGCGGAGGGAGACAGAAAATAGACTTATATGCATGATAGTTTTCTCCAGTGAAATGTTCGTGCAAGGGATGTGTGCACTTTAAAAGGATGATGTTGAGAGAGGTGTTGCCATGGGCCCAAAGCAGTCTCTGAAAATCCTTGCAGAGGGCCCAGACTGCAGGCTGACCCGTGTCCTGATACTGAGTAGTTTCTGTAGCTGGTCCTATAGGCAACTAAGCAGGTCAAGGTGCCCACTGCCAGAACAGTGGGGCAGAGGGTGGCTTGTGTGCCGCTTGCCTCAGTGTGTGCTGCCTGCCGGGCCTGTGGCCTTGGGCTCCTCACTCTGCAATCCATGAGCCCCACTCCGCACCCCCTGCCCTCTAAGCCCGACAGGGGGCTGCGTCACACCACGTTGAAGTCCCAAAGGGAAAGCACCTGGATGAAGTGCAGGGTTCACACTGCTCATGAAGGGACAGGAGCCTCCAGGGCTCGGAGTGTGCTGGTGCCTCGAGGCTCTCCTTGGTCCAAGGCTCCCACCAGACCGTTGCACATCCCCAGGAGGGGCAAAGGCAGCACAATGCCCCGGGAAGAAACCAGAGAGTCGCGCCTTTGGCGGCAGTGGCCACAGGGACCCAGAGGCAGCAGCGCCACCTTCCAGCTCAAGTGCTGGGTCTAGGACCAGCTCTCCATACGGCTGACCACCTGACCCCTGGCCTTGTCACACAGCCTGACATCCCTCAACCACGGAGGAAAGGACCAGCTGACCTGGGAAGTCCAATGGAATATGTGTTTGGGGTGCAGCCACCCTGGCCCTAGTGTCACCTGTTTGCAGAGTGGGGCAGCTCTCCCCTTGGGGAAACTCCCCCCACTCTGCCGCCTGAAGCAAAGCTGCTGGCTCAGGGGGGCTCCCTCCTCAGAGGTTCCCTTACATGCCTGGGCCACGTTCTCCCAAGGTTCAGGTAAGCTGAAGCCCGTGGGGGTCACTAGGTTGCTGACAACATCCCAGACGTCTGGTCTACCACCGGGGACACGTCAGTCGGCAGACTGAAGACTCTTTGGGGCCCCAAACTCCACAAACTGGCCGCCGGTCTCTGGGTCTCTCACAGGTATGCCCACTGTGAGGGCCCTGATGTGAGCCCTGAAATCAAGCTGCCAGGGGAGCTGGTGGCCCAGCCCACTGGCCCAACAAGGCAGCACAGTGCCGCCTTGGACGGACACCACCCGTGGGGCTGTGAGGGACACCTCTGCGGGCTGCTCCTGCAGTGAAGGCCTCCTTGCCCGGGCCTTGGCCTTCTCTTTGGGCTGCTGGCGGAGCCTCCCGGCTGCTGCCACATTTTCAAGCTGCAGCGTTGCTGTCCTTGTCCCATCAGCTCGGTCTATCGCCTTTGAAACTACCCTGTAACATGTTTTCAGCCTTTCCATCCCTTTACAATCTGCCAATGGCCACCCAGCAACGGGCCCTAGTCAAGGTATTCGATGATGCTCCGCTCCAGGCATCTGGTATCCCCAGGAATTCGGACCACCTCGAAGACTTCCAGCTCTGCCTTTCTCACTTCCTCCTGGTCCATCTCCTCTCGACCAGGCCACTGTCTCCTGGTAAAGATCAGGATAAGAGATTACATAGGCCCCCCCCCTTTTTTTTTTTGAGGAAGATTGGCCCTGAGCTAACATCTATTGCCAGTCTTCCTCCTTTTTTTTGTTTTTTCTCCCCAAAGCCCCAGTAGCTACTTGTATGTCATAGTTGTAGATCCTTCTAGTCGTTCTATGTGGGACACCACCTCAGCACGGCTGAATGAGCAGTATGTAGGTCTGCACTTGGGATCCGAATCAGCCAACCCCAGGCCACGGAAGCAGAGCACACGAACTGAACTGCTATGCCACCAGGCTGGCCCCTCATAGGCCTATTCAGAACCGTCAAGATTCTGCCCGCACCATTCCTGGATGGGAACCTGGCCAAAACAGGGTCTGGGGGGCCCAAACTTAATTCTGGTCGATCACCCTGGATCTTCTTGTTGATTGACAGGGTCCTGCACCACGAAGGCAGCGATCACTAGGCTAAGGACCTGCTCCACGCGGCCCCCCATGGTGCCCTGGTCCCGCTCACACCTGACCACACCTGGACGCAAGGCCCCGGCGCGCGCCCAGGGAGGCTGGAGACAAGGCAGCTACACAACCGGACTGCACACGCGGACTTGACGGCCGGGAGAGGGGCGCCGACTGTGCGCCTGAGGGAACACCTCGGACCCCGGGCTGAGCGGGCCCTTCACTGCCTCTTTGTCCCCCGATATGGCACCGCCCCTGAGTCCACAGCCGAGTGGGCATCCCCGCCCCACGTGCTCCGGAACACAACTCCCGCGAGAAGAGGCGGCGCGGCCCACCGGGCGGGAGCACGGGGCGCCCGACGCCCCGCGCGCTCCTCCCGGGTCCGCTGTGGGCGGTCAGACCCCGGGGACCGACTCCTTGAGCGGCCGGTCTGGGCGGGTCTGCTTTTGGGGGTGTGCGGCGCACTTCCCAGCGCTCGGGGTGCCCAGCGGCCGGCGGGGCGGGGGCGGGAGGGGAGCGCCCCTCTCCCTCCCCCTCCTCCTCTCCCTCCCCAAG